AGGAGGGTGATGGGTCTATAGTTCCGAATGTTCATTTTGTCACCTTTCTTGTGGAGTAAAGATAGCACCCCTTGTCCTAACATCTCTCCCATCTCCCCCGTCTCCCAGACTGCTCTGTAGAACTGCATTAGATCGTTGTTAAATCGCGGCCATATGGTTTCCCAGAATTCCTTAGGGAAGCCATCAATCCCAGGAGTCTTCTCCTCCTCCATCTGAAGGAGAGCAGTCCATACCTCATCCTTGCTTAGGGGAAGGTCCAAATTTGTCCTCTGAGTTGGTGTGAGGCGATGGTTCATAGGCTGCAGAAAATCATCAATATGGTTGAGCCGACGTTCCGCCTGGGAAAGGATGTGTGTGGAGAAAAGGTCTTTATAGAAGTCCCGGGCTATTTTTGCACCTTGTGCGGTGGTGGTGGCCACCTCCCCCGTCGTCGGGTCCAGGAAGGCCTCTATGGTAGTGCGGTGGGCTCTGATTGAGGCTAGGCAAAAAAATTGTGAGTCCATGGTACCTTCCGTGGTCCATTTAGATAGTTTTCCTCTGATTCGGATCCCCTGCCATCTGTGCTAAGCATAATGAAGAAGCTGGTCTTTCAAACATTGGATCTCAGTGTTGTGATCAGTAGAGTTGTCCTGATTAACCAGGTCATGAAGGTGACTATGGATTTCCTGTTCTTGCTGATATCTTCGGGCCGCGATCAATTTGGAGTAGTCATTGCACTTCTTGGCTAGGAAAACATGTCGTTCGTAAACCATTGGATATCGGAATTAAAGTTGTCTTTGAGACTTTGCCAATAGGCCCAAACATCTTGTATATAGGACTGGAAGGTCGTATACTTGAGTAAAGATGTGTTCAGTTTGTAGTATCCTGGCCCCTAGTCCGGTCATTTGCGGAACGTGAAGATTGCTTCGCAGGTGCAGTGGTCTAGTCCTGGGTGTGGGCTTTGTGGGAGTATGGTGGCCAGCTGTAAGGCATTTTGTATAGCCTGGGAGATCAGTATCAAATCTATTCGGGATTTTGAGTGCCTTTCCGGGTCATTGGTGCGAATGCATGTGAAGGCGCGATTGGTTGGGTGTAGAAGACGGTATGTGTCTATCAGGTCAAGACCCCTGCAAAAGTTGGCGATGATTTGCTCATCTTCCTCTACGTATCGTAGGTGGGATGTGTGCAGGCTCCATCTGTCTAATCCCCGTTCCGGTGCTGCGTTGAAGTCTCCTGCCATAATGAGAGGTACCCTGGGAGGGGCAGTGGGGGAGAGATTTTCAAAGAAAATTTTTCTCTCTGCTGATGAGTTAGGTGCGTATATGCAGAAAATGCATATTAACTCTAACTCTAACATGCCGAGTACCGAGACCCATCGCCCGTGCTCCTGGTCCGCTGCCCAGTTTATCATCTCAAATCTGGACTCGGGCGGAATCCAGACCGCCACTCCGGCTGATGCCGTTGTCGGGGCATGGACAGCGAAAGATTGATAGATATGCATCCAAGAGACTCACCTGATGGACAAACCGGAGCACCTCAGAGCACACAATACAACCTGCAGCGACCGGTACTTTGAGGAGTGTCGAGCCTCAAGCGACCTGTCTGCGGTACAGGCTTCGTCCAACTACAAAACAAAACAAAAAAAAAACTCAAGAAAAAAGAGAAGGAAAATCAAAAGTCATTCTTCTTCGTCGAAGAACAAAAAAAAAAGCAAAACTCGCCGAGAACAGTGGGGCTTCGTAATTATGAAAAAGAAAACAGAAAAGGCAAAAAAAGAAATAGAACATGGATCAAGAGCTCTCCGCGGGGGGGGGGGAGGAGGGGGCGAGAGAGAGAGAGAGAGAGAGAGAGAGAGAGAGAGAGAGAGAGAGAGAGAGAGAGAGAGAGAAAGAGTGTTCCCCGTTGTCATGGGACAAATGAATCTTCCCGCGTTCTCGCGGGAGATTCATTATCATTTTGCACATCTGGGCCCCAGTCGTTGGGTGCGCCTCTCTCGGGATGTGCAAAACAGTAACAGATCTTCCCGCGATCTCGCGGACTATTCATTCTCCTTTTGCACATGAGTCACTACCGCATCACAGAGAGAGAGAGAGAGAGAGAGAGAGAGAGAGAGAGAGAGAGAGAGAGAGAGAGAGAGAGAGAGAGAGAGAGAGAGAGA